GTGCAACAAAGCCCAGGTGTGTTCACTTTAAAACATCCTCCAATCTAATTCAAGCTTTCTAGAGGAGGAGAGCTGAATTGGAGGGTCTATGTCTTTGTAGTTGGGGGAGTCTTTTACAGTAATGGCTGACAATAGGTCTGCTTTGCCTTTTATTGTAATGTATAGTTAATTTATCTGAACTCACTACATGCTGGGGGGGGGGGGGGGAAGAGAGCCATTCCCAAGGCTGGGTCACTGACTTACAAACAGTATCAGGGGTGTTACTCATCTCAAAGCCTCTCTTTTTGTGCATGTGTCTCCCTACACTCTTCAAGCTACTTGCTTGCCACAGATCCACTCCTGGCAGCAAAGAAATCAAGTGAGTATCCTCTTTTCTCTGGTGCAGGGAATGAGAGCACCTCCTTCTACCTGATTCCTGCCCACTACCTACCGAATGCATTTTTCAAAGTAACAGTGTTGATTATTAGATTACTCTTCATTTTAAAAAGTATAAAATGGCTCTCCAGTACCTTTGGCATAAATTACAAAAAACAAATCAGCTAAAACTAGCAAACAACCCTAGCAACAGCCATTAGCACCAATCAGCACACAACAGAAGAACCCACACTCCCATTCAAACCACAGCCCCCTTCATACCCCCTCCATCCTCAACATGCAAGGTATACCTGTCTTGCTGCATACATATGGATGGGTTATTCCTCGTCTCTTAAGTATTTCAAAGCCATGAGTCTACTTCAGAAAAAGCTATAAAAAAAAAAGTCATGCACAGTTCCACCGTCCCTCCTTTCACAATATTCCAGGATACAATTCTAAATTATAGATCTGCTTTGAGACTAGTCTAATTGAACTCTTGTACAAGACTGCCCTCTGTTGGTTCTATTAGTAATCTACAGCAATGGTCTCCAAACTTTTTTGATCGCGCACCCCTATCAGTAAAAAGTTTTTGAGCACGCACCCCCGCTGCGCCGAAGCGCGCAAAAAAAAAAAAAAAAACCTCCTCCTGCTGTGCACCCCCAAGGATCCTCTTGCACATTCCTTGGGGTGCACACACCCCACTTTGGAGACCACTGATCTACAGAATCACATCATTCGTACCTGGGAAAGGGAAGGCCTGTTTTGACAAATGAAAACCTCCTCTCATGCATTGCTGTGATGTCTCAGATGTGTCTGTGGAGGTTTGGACAGTTTATTAAGATGAAACAATCTTCCTTGCACTTGGAGATAAAGAACTCAATCCACTTAAATTATATATAACCTGGGAACAAGCTTTCTTTGTTATTGGACTGAAATCAAACTTTCCCCAGTCATAGGGTAGCAAGCATAGAGGGCTTAAAATCAGAAAAAAAATGAAGACCACAGTAAGCTAGAAGGATGTAGGATACCAAACTCTCTTGGTGACCACAGATAGGGGCAGGGTTTGAAAGGCAGCATTTAAAAAAAAAGCATCAGATACATGTGCATGCAAAACACAAGAGCTGTACAAAACTCTTAACTCAGAAATTTGCCTGCTTTCAGGTTTTATTACAAACATAACACTGGGGCCAAATTTGTGAAAGAGATTTTGGTAATTCTGGTCTGACTTCAAATGGACCTTGGTTGACTAGTTTCAAGTGAATCCTGAACCATTCAAACTCAGTTGTACTCCCCAGTCGGTTAGGTTTGTACCCATCTGTCATCTCCTGTCTTGTACTTAGATTGTAAGTTCTTTGGGGCACGGATCTTTTTTGTTCTGTGTTTGTACCGTGCCTAGCACAGTAGAGTCCTGCTTCAGGACTAGGGCTCCTAGACACTACAATTAAACAAAAATATGGTTAAGCTCAAAACTGTAAGTCCAAGTGAACTGCAACAATAGTCCAGAAAGCTCTCTTGCTAGCCTCTACACAAGCTGTTTAAAGCATGGAAGAGAATCCTAAAGAAATCTACCATTGACTGATTTTTGTTTTAGAGCATCCAACTGGAATGTTGGTATAGGATGATAACCTGGAAAAAAAAAATCAGGAGATGGGAAAAGGCAGAATGGATACTTCTGACACTACATACACCACCAAAGACTATGGGTAAATACAAGGAAAACAAGAAAGCAGAGGGGACTTTATAGTAAGGGTGTGTTTTAGACTCCGAATATCGCAGAATTGGAGAGAAGAGGCAATACTGTTAATAGCGATATTTTAAATCTTGAAGATTTTTAGCCACCAAGGATATCTGCACTGCAGCTGGGACTGAGCCACCCAGGCTGGGTAGACAGACTTCCGCTAGCAGAGCTCGAGGTAGCAGCCTTAAAACTGTGGACATTGCAGTTTGGGCTAGAGAGTGGGCTCTCAAGCCCACTGCTATTTTAATTGCGCTAGCTCAAGCCTTGCCAGCATGCCTGTACATGTGGACTGAGAGGATGCTTCCAGCTGCAGTGTAGACATACCCCCCCAAGACATCTCAGACATTTTTAACTCTAGCTGAAGATATTTGACCACAAACTAACTGAATTTAAGATGCAAAGAAGGGGAAGAGTAGCACGTAATGATATTCTAACATGAGATTTCTGTAAAGCAAACTGTTATAATGGAGAAAGACATTGGGCACCATAAAATAAAAGTTTTGGATGGGGGGGGAGAAATGGAAAGTCTAAAGAAGGCAATTTAATCAGAGAATCTAGTGGTTTTTACATTTGGGATTAAGCGAAGGAGGGGCAGATTTAGGCTCGGTGATTGATTACTGGAAGTTTTAAACAATCCATCTCTCTGTTAGGGCTTTCTATAGCGTATCATTGTAGTGCCTAATGCTCAGGACACTCTGCATACTTAATAGGTTTGGGGAAAACCACTGAAGGAAATAATGCCAACTGGAAGGGTGAAAGGCAATTCCAAACATAGCAAGTCAGTTCTCATCAGGGGATTTTGCAGGACAGCATCACACTATCACTGAGTATTTGAAGGAAAAAACAAACAAACAGGTAAAGATAAGTCTTATTTACTTATCATGGGAAAACTTGGCAAGGCATTAATTTCTTTGTAAGAGACAGCATGAAAAGGTAGGAGCAATATATTCAGAAGGAAAGTTAGGTTCAGAGTATTACCATGTTAATAGCATCTAATCTCCCCCACTATGTCAGGCCTACTTTAACTATGCCTCCTTTACAATCTTCAGTATTTGGGGGCATAATCCGTGTGCAAGACAATACGCCAGCCAATTTCAGAATTAATTTTAAACCAGCTATCTTGACTGCACAGCAGCAGGAGGGAGTGCGACTACTTCATACTCTGCTAGCAAGAATGTCTGTTTTGGGGTGGGGGGTTGGTCAAACCAACCAACTTGCATTTAGATTTGGATAAAGCTTTTTTAAAATTTTGAATTTTACAGATTAAACTGTTTATCATCTAAATACATTGAATTACCTTATGTATAGTTTTTCCATGAGTATATATTATATCATGCACAAAAGTCACCATTCACTGTCATGTGCTTAAATAATATAGAATTATTTGCTACCAGTTTTCATGTACCGGAACTTTCAACTTCACACATCACTTGTGCTCTATTTCTTTTGGTAAGAACATCTTCATTATCCCATTAATTATTATTTACAGCAACCTCCTTAGTGTACATAGCTGTTTAGAGGATGTTAACCCTTACAGCAGACTGACCAATTTTTCCACTCCCCCTCCCCTATAGAAATAAAATGCTTTGTAATTATTACCAAAAAAAAAAAAAAAAAAAAAAAAAAATTGGACTTGTTTGCAGAAACAGTGATCAAAATGAACTGAGGATTAAACCTGTGCGGTACTCAATTGTCTATGAAAATTAACAGGTCTCACACTAGAGGTGAGACTAGATGATCATGATTGCTTTTGGCCTTGGAATCTGATCTGGCAGTATGACAGAGGCAATGCAATTGTGTGGGTAGGACAATGGACAGACTCAATAATGTCCAGCAACCATGACATTTTTTTCCCTAGGTAGGTCAGGCCTTAAAAGCCCAGAGGACAAAGAGATGTAGGAATAGAATCTGTGTAATGGTTGCTGGCGGCTACCATGGAAAAACAAAAAAAGCAAGCTACCCCAAATGCTCCAGCCCCATTTGGCTAGGCACTGTACAGACATTTTAGATGTTAGCCTGGAACCAAGCTTCAGTTACACTGAAGTGTTCGGAAGTAATGTCAAATACAGCTAACAAATATTTATATGTATTTATACTTAGTGCCATACAGCAGGAGTCATTTCTTTCATTAAACAGATTAAATGGGTCTGGTTTCAGTCCTATGCCCCTTCCCATAAAATGGAGTATTTCCCAGGCTTTCAGCCTTCCAGGGTCCAAAAGGCAGCTAAGCTTGTCATAGATTAATGCTACCGATTAGCTCAAATTGCCTCTAGTCAAACCCTATCTTCCACTGTCCTGACTACCCACAAATTTCACTCACGTGAGGCAAACTTCAACTAGAACATGGAGGATATAAACCTCACAATCTTCTGAACTTTAGAGAGACTCTAGGAAAAAGTGTTTAAGGGCCAAACCTTCCCAGGTTGGAAAGGCTCTGGTATCTTCAGTGACTACCCTGCCATGGCAGACATCCCTTCCTCCACACAGCTACAACCATACAGTCATGTGCATCTGACATGACCTTACTGAATGTTAGCTTTATAAATAGCTACATTTGGGAGCTCCAGGCAGTCTGTAAAAATATGAGTAATTATACCTTGAAACTAAGCTGTAACTAGAGCTAGCCAGTTTCTGTAAGAGATGATAATTTTAGACACTTGTAAGGTGGTACCTGGAGGCAATTACATTACTTGCAACCATCAACAGCTGTAGGAGCCTAATATTCTTTCATCTCAATCTTAAAGGTCATCTGTGTTTCACTTATTTAATTTCAGTCTTCTAGGAAGCTGGAGGCATTCAGCTCTGTTGCTGGACCTTTCCATCCTGATAATCTGTTCCTACCCATACAAGAATTCCAGAATCAAGTTTTATTTATGGGAAAAAGACTAATGATAACACTAATACAGAATTGATCAGCAAAACTCCTGTTTTTGTGGTTTAATTTCCAGTATGATTAATGACACAAAGCAGAGACACAAATTATTGTAATCATCTGTCTTTAGGAGAATTGAGTTTCTTGCGTCTTCTGTGATACCTGGAAGAAAAAAAGAATTGCAGTGATAACAATTTGGAATGTATTCTTGGATTTTCCTGTCAGGATTTGTTTGTAACCAGTAGTCTACAGCCTACATATTAGTAGTGCTATAAAAAGATACACAAGAGCTGATCAACACATTTGTCTCCTGTTCACAAGGTGTTACCTACATAAATAACACTGCCCCTTCTACTGCTGCATGAACAAGTACACAATACAACCAACTTGAAAATTCACATCTGAATTTTGTACCTACTTTAGTTACAACCACCACAACCAAGATTATTAAAAGCAATTGGCAAATAAAACTTCAGTTTTTCCAAGCTTATTTATTCTATGCACTGGACAGCACTTTGGATAAAATTCATTTCACTAGATGGTCAGATAGCTTCTCCCTTGCTGAAAAGGGTCCTTAAAACTCAAGAAAATAAAAAATGACCTGATCCTTCATCAGGATCTGCTCATATGACTCCACCAATGACTCCCTCCCACTTTCTAAACGCATTTAAAACAAAAACAAAATCAGAACATCCTTAAAAAAAAAAAAAAAAAAAAAGTATAGCCTAACTGGTATCATTTTTTAAACAGTCAATTTCACTAAAAATTCAAGTGGACAGTGTCCTTTCAACTAAAACTAGCACTACATTAGATCAGAAGAAGATATCCCTGATTTCATAGACAAGAAAATGAAATTTTGTTGCTTATTGTGAAAGAGCAGAGTTTTTACAAGTTTCTACAATCAATTCTTCCTCATCTAATCCCATATGCTCTTTCTTATATAACTGCAGTCATTCAAGGAAGAATTTGGACCAGCTCTTCAGATTCCCTGTTAATTTCAGCCAACTTAAAGTGTTATGAAGCCACTTTAGAAAGGACTCTCATCAGAGGCTAAAACAGGCTTTGTTTCCACTGGCACAGCTGAACATAGATAGTGCTTAAAGTGGAAGTAACTTGATCAGGAGTGCTTCCTCCTCACAAATCTTATCTTTTAAGAGACTGCAAATATAAGAGCTGACAATGCTTCCCTATCACAGGCCCTTTGAGACAAAGGAGCATCCACGGTTTTTCACAGTAACTTAAGGCTCTAAAAGCAACTGCTACTAGGAAGGATTCTAGAAAGTTATCACTGGAGAAGGTAAGTATTCAAAAGGGGTAGATAATGCTGAGAGTTTTAATTTCCCAAAGGCTATAAGTCTCTGAAAAGAAAATAATTTGACCAAAGTGGGAGAACTGAGGTCAGTAACTAAGGTCTTGTCTACACTACGGACATATTACCAAATTTATCAGCGTTGCTGATATTGGTGTAGCTCCACTGTTGTTTGGAATGTTGGAAGCCCTAGTGTAGACTGCCACTGGTAAGCACTGTGTCATCTAACCCTGCTCAGAGCAGGTCTAATCGACAACAGAGATATTAGGCAGAAACTAATGTTCTTGGTCAAAGGTACTTTACATAATAGATTGGTTTCACAGTGAGACATTAACGAAGAATACAAGAATTATCATCTAATCAATCAGATGAAGAAAAAGAATCTCCTTTGACATTACTATACAATACCCTTTTTGGTGCGATTCTAAGACCGTATTGCCAGTGAAAATTCCTTAAGGAATTTATCCCTATGTAAAATTAAGTGTTATGTAAAATACTTAATAGTTTGATGCTAATGTTACTATGTCATACCTAATGAGTTACCATCCGAGTGAATTTAGCCCATGTTATTTATTCCTCTTTCCCTTCAACCCCCAAAGGACAAATACTTCAGAAAAGACACTTACTGTCCCACGGGGTACCAACGATGTTTTGTTGTATAAAACATTTTGCTGAGCTCCTCAATTTTAGGACCTTTGCTATTCTTTAGCTCCTTCACTTCCAATCTAGTTTTCAATACTTGATCATGTGTTTCTTCTTTGTTATCCACTGGATCTGGTCGAGGTATGGGCTACAATATCATCAGTAATGAGCACATTACTTTAGTAAGCTTTTAGTATTTTTTAACTCTAATTAAAACATTTAACCACTTCCCTGAACTGTTCACAATCCATCACTGCAGTATTTTACTAGTGCACAAGAATTAGAAAGTGAAACTGTCTCTAAACAAAAAGTCTATTTAGTCTGTTTTATCTTATCCAAGTTGAATAAGTGCAAGGAATACAAAGGGCACAAATGCTGTAAAGAAAATTAATTTATCAAAATCTAAGGTTTTAGGCTCCCATAGACTGCCAGATTCGCTTTGATTAAAATCAATCTACTCTGTGCCTGTCTTACTCTGGTTGTAAATATCTTTCCCAGAATTGTATCCCCCATGCCTACAGGGGAATCTGTCTGCATCCCCTGCAGGTGAATCTCTCCTGTGGACTCTATAGCACAGAGAGATGAAGTGATTGGTACAAGACCACACAGGAGTGAGTAGCAGTCAGGAGGAAAACCCAGATTTGTTCATTCAGGTTCATATACTGTACCCATCTCAATAGTACATTGTCCCTGCTCCCAACAACAGTTTGAACTACCTCTAGATCAGAGGTGGGCAAACTACAGCCCGCGGGACCCTACCCGGCCCCTGAGCTCCTGCCCTGGGAGGCTAGTACCCAGCCCCTCCCTTGCTATTCCCCCTCCCCTGCAGCCACAGCTCGGTCTGCTGCTGGCGCAATGCTCTGGGCAGCAGGGCTGCGAGCTCCTGGGGCAGCGCAGCTGCACAGCCAGGGCCTGACCCGGTGCTATGAGCTGCTCTGCAGCATGCCTGGCTCCAGCCGGGCGGCGCAGCTGCCTGTCCTAGTGCTCTGGGCGGTGTGGCTGTGGCGCTACCAGTGCTCCAGGCAGCACAGTAAGGGGGCAGGGAGCAGGGGGGGGGGGGTGGATAGAGGGCAGGGAAGTTCAGGGGGCTGGTCAGGGCAGGGGTGTGGATAGGGGTCGGGGTAGTCAGAGGGCAGGGAACAGGGGAAGGTTGAATGGGGGCAGGGGTCCCGGGGGGGCAGTCAGGAATGAGAGGAGGGGTTGGATGGGGTTCCGGGGGCTGTCAGGGGACAGGGAATGGGAGGTTGGATGGGGCAGGAGTCCAGGGGGGCTGCTGGGGGCGAGAAGTGGGGGGGGGGTGGTCAGATGGGGGGCAGCGCTGGGCCACGGCTGGCTGTTTGGGGAGGCACAGCCTCCGCTAACCGGCACTCCATACAATTTTGGAAACCTGATGTGGCCCTCAGGACAAAAATTTTGCTCACCCCTGCTCTAGATAGTAGCCAAATGCATATCACGATATTCTGGCCATGTTATCCAGTATACTGAGACACTTCATGAGAGCTAAAAAAGGGATAGCCCAAAAGAACATTGTTGGCCAAATTAAAGATTGTCTGTGCTTTCAAGCAAACAGGAAACATAGTTGTGCAAATCTGTATATACCTTTGTGTGCTCATATGGAATTTCAACTGAAGGATGGTAGCAGACAATTGTCCTTCCATCTGATGTCATGGCAAGTTCCACTTTACTATAAAAGATGAAAACATTATACAGATCAGTATATCCCCTTATTCCTATAAAGTCCACCCTCTTGCTCAGGTGAGAGCACTCTGGAAGAGACATGAGTCAGACTGGCTGACCAAGAAACGTGCGGAAAGTCTAGGGTATTACGTGCACAAGTTGTCTTTTGAACTTTAGATAGCAATCTTGAAAATTTTAGTCACTAAGTGATTTAGCAGACTAAGAACCACTGACTTTTAATGGGACTTAGACTTCCGAGTCACTTAGACATCTTTGAAAATTGTACCCAGCACCAGGGTCAAGTGCATAAGATTTCCAGATAGTTTCCTTGTAGTATTTTGTATCGTTTGTTTTTTTGAAAATATTTGGAAACTAGGCTTAAAATTTCTACAAGATACCTAGAAGCCAGAAATAAAGCACGAAAGACAATGGCAACTAGCCCTCTCAATAAATTCCAGGGCCAATGCCCTACAGAAGAGTCCAGCACCTCTAATCCACTGGGCAGGAAAGGGAGCTGGGATTTCTACCAAATGCTAGGCCCTACCAGTCAGCTTCTACCTAGTAAGCATGATAAATGTGAAGCTCCACCAAACTCATTCTCCTGGAAGAGATGAGGCTTGTCTCATCTTCCCTGGAGAGCCTGTTAGCGTCTATGAGGTGAGAGGGTCTACACTATTCTAACCTCCTTTCCCACATTTCTATCCAGTAAAGAACTCCAGTAACTGATTATGTTGCTACTCAACTTTCCCAAGCAGCTGCATGGAAGTGCCATGACTTTTGTCTAAGTACTGAAAAGCAGCCATGCTCTTTAATTTCACCGGGCCTCTTGACAAACCTACGAATATCAGCAGAGGCACTACAGCCCTTTGTCTATAGATTCAGGAAGACAACACTGCATCCATTTTTCACTTGATTCACATTTGGAACGTTAGTTTCACAAGCCTTATGTCTAGAAACAAGGCTCTTCAGAAAATGGCTAGATCAATCCAAAACTTGCAAAAGGAATAATTGGCATAAAGAAAACAGCAAGACTAACAGCAGGTAGGGCAATTACTCCAATATTTATCCCTGAAGCTATGGGTCAAATGAAGTCCATAGTGGGTCAAAATAGATTTGATTGTGTACCAGTTATAGTCTTCTGGAAGGACTGAATATGTAGATTTATGGCGAGCACAATGCACTGCTCCATCTGCAAAGATGAGAAAAAACACCAGTGAGAACAAATGAAACTGCAACAAAATTAACTTTACACCTGCATTCCGTTATCTCAAACATGAGTGAGCTCAACCAGAAATGCACATTCAGTTTAAGTTTAACCAATCCATTTAGAAAGTGTCTGGAATATCATGCCAATATTTCAATCCTATTATAATACATATTTCTAGAACTGCAACTGGCCCAGTACATGGGTGCTATCCCAGTGTTATCCTTGTAGTACTCTAAGAAGTTGCAAAAAACCCATACCATATCAAACTGGCCAAGCACACTACTCCTAAAGTAATAGTTTCTTACACAATGAAATAAGAACACTGCTATACTAGAGGGTTGCATTACTTTGTTGCTTCTGTAGGCCAAGCTGTGCACTCAATTAGAGAAAGCCCCATATTAAGCTGCTGCCTGCTTCAAGTGTGTGTACAGGAGTGATGACGGGACCATGAGGGAGGCAGAAATAGGGATCAGGGGAGGTGGAGGTTACATTCCCCATCCCCTGCTCATAGAGCTGCCTTGCCCTTTACCCTCTAGTTACTCAGCCTATGCCTCCTTCCTCTTCTCACCTGATCCCAGAGGTTGATCCCCTTGCCCAAAGCCCTGGCTGGGAATCAGTTCCCACAAACACAGGGCCTGCCTTTCTCCTTCCAGGCAATTTTTGCAGAGGTTGAGCTGAAACCCTAGGGTTTGTTATAGACAGTCTCTGCCCTGCCCCCCACTTTTAGTCCCTGATTTTTCCATCTCTACTTCCCCCATTCCTGGTCCCTGCTTCCTCACCACTCCCCACCACCACAACTCCCAACCCCCTGCCACTCCGCCCCGAGGTCCCTGCTCTCCCCTCCCACTATCTTCCAGTTCCTGCTGCTTCCCCCAACCCCACTCCTCCCTGCTCCATGTCCCTGTTTCTCCCTGACTCCCAAAACTCCTTCCTCTAAAATGCTTACTTTTCTTATACTCCAGGCTACAGACAATCTCCCCATGCAAGTTAAGATACTGCCTCTGATATGCAGCAGCAGGGGGCACCACAGAGATTCCTTTGCCTGCAGTACTAGGCAGTCTGATTTTCCTGTAAAGCAGGGTGTCCTGGTTTTCCGATTTTCACCAAAATCAATTGGATTCTGCCCACTGATGCCTAGAACATTCCCTGAAATGTTGGAATTGATCAGATGCAGTGTTCAAAAACTATCGCATTACATACAGACAAATAGAAATGCCAAGAAGTTATGTAGAACCTTGCTTTGCTGGGCTAATAGATGTATAGAATGAGATAAATTATGAATACAAAGACTGTTATCCATGACAACATCCAATTCCAAAAATGCTTTCATGTTTCATAGAATTGCAGCATCTTCACTTTTCCCCAAAACTGTTTGGGGTTTTAGTTCAACAGTAATTCATGAGCTCATGCCTCATTGTTTCTGGTTCTGGCCAGATCACAGGGTAGTAAACTCATACATTTTATAGCTATCTTATGATGTACTCTTCCACTTGTGCGGGTTTGTTATTTTTAAACATTTGAGTTTCAGTGTGTCTCCACTTTGAAGATGATTTTATCAAGTATGTGTAGTAGTAATCTGAACTTAGATTTATGGGTTTTTTAAACTGACATTTTTCAGGGATTTATTAGGATGACATGCATATCTGTGTAAGAAATTAGGCTCATGAACGTCAAACTCATTACTGGTATTTGAAAGTGATCATAAAAATAACTAGTCTGGGTACAGTTCTTCTAATGTTCCATTATTTTACTGTTTACTATAAGTATGGATATTGTTAAATATTAATACTCCATTGCTTATGGCAGATATGACACAAATGTCTTACTTCCCACATATTTCACAAGAACAGGCACAGAAACCTAAAGCTAGGCCTAGTCTACAACAGAAAGTTTTACTGGCAAAACTCTACTTTTGTTGGCACTGCCTGGTGTTCATTACACTTACAGCTTCAGTGTAGCAAGAGATTTTATTACCACTACACTTCAAGCTCTGAATTACATTCACAGGAAACAATAAGGAGTTTGGGAAGCAGAAAACCCAGAATCAGCACAACTGTCAAAACATTTTTCTTCCAACTTTCGCTGTCACATTTTAGAAGACGCGACATAGCTCATCTTCGACTTTATATGAAGATGGAGATACTATAAGATTTCCTTGGCAGTGCTTACAACTCCAGATTCCCAGCGCTTTTTCTTCCACATATTGCTATCTTCAACTAACACCTCCCCAAAAGCCAATCTGAAATACTGCAAAATCAGGCAACATTGCATATTATTGCTCCTTGTTCAAGAGAAAGTAAACACGAGCCTAAGAAATCAAGTTTTCAAATCTCAGATTCCTCCTAATATTAAATGCTCTTTAAAGCTTGGTTAATTGAGCTAATCTATTTTAAAGTTCAACACTGGAAACTTCAAGGGCAACCAAGTCAAAACGTGACTTAGTAACACAGCACATAACTCCATAAATATCAAACTTTAACCAGGTGAAATATAAAGGTCACTTCCCTGCCTGTGTTACTGTAAACTTTGCTCAGAGCTAAGTACCAATGCAAGAGTCTTTTAAAAAAGAAAAAGAAGAAAACCAGAAAATTTCTAAACATAGGATTTTCATAAAGCAGCACTATTTCTTACTCTGTACTGAGGCCTGCCTACTGAATGTTGCTACATGCATCCACATAGTATTGGACCACACAGCTCTTCTCAATGCTATTGCCATGGTCACAGGAGACAGAAAATTGGTGCTGGAGAAAGAAATATTCTGGACGCAAATGGAATCCTTTTTACTGCAGCACACACTTCTGAAGGAAGGTTTCATCACTGTTTAGGAGACAGAAGGGTTGACAATTAGTTTGTTAATAAAAGATTCAAGATCTATGAAAGATACGACTTGCACAGCACCTTATATATTGTTTAACAAGTACTGGAAATATTTGTAATGAGTTAAGAATTAGCATCCACTTACTAAATAGTACTTCTGAGGGAATTCTGTGCCAAAAAAATTAAAAATTCTGTACACAATATTTTAAAATTCTGCATAATTTTATTTATCAAAATATCAGTGATTATATTGTGTTATTTTGACAAATAAAATTATGCAGAATTTTAAAATTTTTAGGCACAGAATTTTTAATTTTTGGTGCAGAATTCCCTCAAGAGTACATTAGTTCTGTGTGGCACAATCTGGATGTGGGCAGTTCAGTGGAGGGGTCCAGGTGTTTGTGGGGAGAGGGGGATCAGGATGCAAAGGGGCTCGTTGGGGGGTTCTGGGTGCAGGGGAAATGGGGCTCTGTAGGGGAGTCCAGGTGAAGGTAGTTAGGGCTCAGCTGGGGGGGAGGTGTGGGGGCTCAGCAGGCAGTCTGGGTGCTGGGGGAGTTGGGGTCAGGATACAGCTGGTTAGGGGCTCCCAATGCAGAGGGTGAGGCTCGGTGGGAGGGTTCTGGGTGGGGGAATAGGCTTGATGCGGAGGGAGGGCAAACGGGGAGCAGCTTCCCGTACTGTGACCCCTCCCCCCTGTGGCTGAGGAGCAATGGGGCCAGGAAGGGGAGGAAGGGATCACTGTACGCAGCGCTGCTCCTCCGTCTGCCTGACCACTCTGCACCTAACCCCTCCCCACCAAGCCTCACCACCCCCCCCACCCTTCATGCAGACTCCTCCCCCCACCCCCGCAAGGTGTAGAGCTTCCTGCAGTCGGGGGAGATTTCTGGGGGTTGATTTGACCCAACCCTGGCTGCTCCCTGCAGGGGAGGGGGGAGAGAGACTTATCTGCGCTGCCAGGGAGGGGTGAGTGAGCACTGGTGCACTAACAGCAGAAGCTTTGCAGGAGAAGGCACCTATGGTGAGTGTTCTACCCACTGTGCTAAAAGTTATAAGGTGGATACCACCACCTCCTCCAACCACTTGACTTATCTTTCCTTCCCTTCATGAACTGCCCTGCAGCTTAGGCAGGAGATAGGTGTCTGGATGCTTAGAGTAAGGAAGCACTGCGCATGCTCAAAGGCAGAAAGTTAGGCACCTTGGGAACTTTTATCCTGAAAATGTAGGCACTGAGTGAGTTTAAGCACCTACAAGGTTCATTGGAAGTTTTAGCAATCACAGTGGAACCTAAAACTTGGACCTTTAAGTATCTCTGTGAATCTAGTCCTCGATCTCTATAATACAGTGTATGGGCCTGGCTTCTTCAGACCTTGATAAGAAGATCAGCATCCTTTTCAGAACACTTCAGAATCAGTGTTGTCAGCAAAACCACCCCTCACAGCAGACATGTATAGGATCTGGCACTGCTATCAAACAGATATATTTAAAACATTTCTCCTTGAGGCCTAATAGCTATGCCAATCAGGTGTGTAAAGAGGGAATGACCTGCCAGGTAGCTTGCCTATAATGAAAGACATCCTATGCAACTTCATCAGAAACAAATGCAGAGTAACTGCCACACCCCATTTCTGGATCAGGACATCTCTGATAGCACTTTTCAAATATGCTGAGACATAACATCACAATGTTAAGTGAGCTGAAAATATTTTTGTTGCAGCCTATGCAGACTGTGTTCTTGCACATCACACTAAGGACTCATTAATATTACCATCATAATGTAAGAGAGGTGTAAGATAATGCTGTGTTTGTAAGTTAAATTTTCCTGGGAGCACATAGTTAATAAAGATAAGGTTTACGGAATGTGTGGTTAGCAAGCAGATAGAAGCGGAGATCAAAAAGAAATCTTTACAGTTTAAAGCACCAAACTGTAGATTCATTCTCATGGGACACGAGTGCCACCACTTTGTGTACACTGCTTATACAGGGGAGTGCCAACAACCTCTGCATGCATGGCAGGATCTACCACAACACTGTCAGGCCTTCATTGTCCTGAACAGCACATAGTGCAGAGAAGGACCATGGTAACCTTAAATTAACCTTGAACCATATAGTGAAACTTTGTCAGCACAAAACTGATACCTGTGAAATACTGTAAAGGCTTTTGACAAAGAGCCACACTCAGAAAAGTTAAGCTCCACTGCTTCCGCCTTCTCTTTGGACTTCAAATTAAAAACAAAACTAAGTTACACTGGGACTATAAAAGCCTTTAAAAATATTCAAGACAGATCAAAGGATGGAAGATTAATATATCATGTTTTGGGGAAAGACTCCTGTAATCTTCTAGGTTGTCCTGTCATCAAAACTAAGGCCACTTTACTTATGAACAAGAGCATCCACACAGCGATTTAAGGAGCTGTAAATTATGTGCATTAACTTCACCCCTCTATTGTGTTCAGGTAGACAAGCCCTTATTAAGGGAAGGGAATAAGGGAATTTGAGGGAGGAAAAGCCACTGTTAATTCCTTTACATTAAAATACTTCAACTGGTTTTCCATGACACCCATATAAATGGGAGGCTGCAGACAATCAGATGCAAATACTTCTGATGCAGTATTAACCACACACACAATCAGCATGAGAGTTGCAAAGCCATGAACAATAATGGTGCATCTAATATACGAGTCAGCATTATAGTTTGTACCCTATGCTAAGGCAGTGTGTGTTTTTACCATGGAGTAACTAACATGCATTAGCTATCTCATTGTAAATACATAGTGGACACAAACAAGGCACTTCAGTTTCACCAAAAGACAAACTAGGTAAGGTCAGCACTAGGACCCCATCCAACCAATATAAAAGGATTAAGGTCCCCTCAGTCTTTTTTCTCAAGACTAAACATGCCCAATTTTTTTAACCTTTGGGTCAAGTTTTCTAAACATTTTATCATTTTTGTCTCTCTCTCTGGACACTCTCCAGTTTATCCACATCTTTCCTGAAGTGTGGCACCCAGAAGTAGACACAATACTCCAGTTGGGGTCTCATCAGGGCTGAGTAGAGCGGGACAATTACCTCCTGTATCTTACATATGACACACTTGTTAATACACCCCAAAATGTTATTAACCTTTTTCACAAAGGCATCACATTGTTGATACATGTTCAATTCATGATCCACTACAATCCCCAGATCCTCTTCAGCAGTACTACCCTTTAACTGGTTATTCCCCATTTTGTAGTTGTGCATTTGAGGTTTCCTTCCTAAATGAGTACTTTGCACTTTTCTTTATTGAATTTCATCTGGTTGATTTTAGACCAATTCTGTCATTTGTCAAGGTCACTTTGAATTCTAATCCTGTCCACCAAAATGCTCATCACCCCTGCCCAGCTGACACCATCCACAAATTTTATAAGCACATTCTCCACTTCCTTATCTATTTCATTAATGAAAAGCTGGACTAGTACAGGACCCAGAACTGAGCTATGTCCATGTACTTTGACAGCAAACCATTCATAGCAACTCTGAATATCTTTCAACCAGTTGTGCACCCACCGTACAGTAGTTTCATATAGACCACTAACATTTTGCTAGGTTGCTTATGAGACTATCGCATGGGACGGTCAAAAGCCTCAATACAATTAACGTATCACATCTAATGCTTCCCCCTTCCACTGGGTTTACAGCGGTAAGCCACAAAACAGCAACGAGAACAGTTGTTTGACCCTCCGGGGTTTCCAGCTTCTCCTCCCCGATCCTGCCCCTCCCCCGTGAACAGCAAGGACCACGCTGGAATCCCAGTAAGAGGGAGTAAAGGCAAAGACGACGGCAGACGTTACTGCGCATGCTCAGTTCGCAGGCTCATTAACTGTCGAACAGCAATTCGGTTTGGCGGCAGGAGCAGATTGTGACGTTACGTCTCCGGCCGCTCACGCGCTGCTCAGCCTCCCGCCGCGGCCCATCATCGCCTTTCATCCCTCTGCGCCCCCCTCCCCCGTACCCGTGAGCCCCGGCCCCGCCGAGCCCACCAGTCACACAGCACCGCTGGAGCCCAGAGCTAGGCCGCGCCCGGCCGGTTGGGACCGACACCGATGGGGGAGCTGCGGTTACCTGGCCCGGCCCAGAGAGCGGCGCCATCATCTTGTTCTGTGAGGCTCCACAGATGCAACTGAGAGATGTTCAATTAATCAATCAGTCTGTAGGTACTGGCCCAATGCCTTCCTCGCGATGCCCGGAAGCAGTGATGTATATTTCCTGTGACGTAGACACACCCTCAAAGCATGATGGGAAATGTAGTCCAAAGCAGTGTATAGGCAAAATACAAACAGCCAGCGTCTAAACCTCCCGCACGAGGGGTGTCCTGCTAGGCCCAGCCCCGTCCACCACTAGCCAGGGGTGCCTGAGCCAGCCCCACCCCCCCCCCCCCCCTCAGGTAGGGGTGCCAGGCCCAGCCTCACTCCTAGGGGTGTCATGGGTGTCAGGTCCAGCCCCACCCTGCCTGCCAAAGGAGTGCCAGGCCCAGCCCCACCTCTCCCTCATGTGCCACGAGAGGTGCCAACCCAGTCCAACCCTGTCCACCACAAGCCAAGAATGCCAGGCCCAGTCCTGCCTGCCACCAAGTCCAGCCCTGCCTGCCACCAAGCCAGGGGTGCAGACCCAGCCTCGCCCCTCTCTCTTGCATGCCACCAGTTTGGGGTGCCAGGCCCAGCCCCCACCCTGCTATAGGGGTACTAGGCCCAGCAGCTCTGTCCCACCACCAGCTAGAGGTGCCAGGCCCAGGCCCTCTGTCCCACCACCAGCTAAGCATGCCAGCCCCCCTGCCTGCCACCAGCCAGGGGTGCCAGGCCCAGCCCCATGCCTCACTCCCTCCTGCCACCAGCCAAGGGTGCCAGGCCCAGCCCCCACCCTTCCTGTCACCAGCCAGGAGTGCCAGGTCCAGCACTGCCTCTGCCACCAGCTAGGGGTGCCAGGCCCCAGCATCCCCCCTACCCTAGTGGTGTCAGGCCCAGCAGTGCCCAGCCACATGGCCTTTAGCTGAAGTGCAAGGTCATCTCCATAATGTTACCTCAAAGGCTGTTCTCTTCCATCTTTATTTAGGTAATGCTTCCATTAATCTTCAGTGGGAGCCTTGTCTGAAATAAGTGTTGCAGGACTGGGCACAGGTTATTTTCATAGGTCACTGATAAATACCCAGCATTAATTCTAGGCAATTTACAGGCAATGTCCAATGACTTGTTTAATTTTTGGCTCCTTAAATGCTGCATGGTTAGATTCTTGTTTACTGGCTTTTGTTTCTCTCCTAATGGTCCCTATATTTGGAGTAGCATTTAACAGATACTTTATTAGGTGGAAACAGGAATTTACACAGAGGAGATCAGACAAGTGGTCCATCTAGGCAAGTTGCTAAATTGAGATGTTTCAGTAAAAACATAAAATCCCTACAATGCATAATGACATATTAACATGTCCATGGGGAATTTTCTTCCTAAGCATTTAGTAATAATTCAGTGATAGCTAGACAATAAAATATATTGATACAATAATTTGACAAAGCACACATATCAATTGATCAGTTCAGTCCATAGCTTAGAAATGCTCCTAGATTCTTGCCGATTCTAACCTCTCACGCACAACAGCATCCACGAGTAAAGCTTTTAGTATCTGCAGTTGGCTAGAAGACTGTCCCATCTGGCAGACAATGACCTGCTTTGGTTATACAAGCATATGTCACCACCTATCTGAACTACAGCCAGGTAATACACCTTGATGGTTGACTATGGTTGACAACTCTGCTCCTAGGCTCAATGGAGCTCTGTACAATAAAGGTAAAGGTCATCTGTTCAGAAGACAGAGCTTTCTTGGGACAAGACTGTGGAGCAAGCTCTCCCAGAAATTAAAGTATCAGGGGGTAGCCGTGTTAGTCTGTATCTACAAAAACAACAAGGAGTCTGGTGGCACCTTAAAGACTAACAGATTTATTTGGGCATAAGCTTTCGTGGGTAAAAACCTCGATGCATCTGAAGAAGTGAGGTTTTTACCCATGAAAGCTTATGCCCAAATAAATCTGTTAGTCTTTAAGGTGCCACCAGACTCCAGAAATTAAAGGCCATCACAAACCTCACCACCTTCCAGTCCAAAGTTTACTTCTTCATTCTGTCTTCTCTAATTTAAATACAGAGCAGCGTGTGAATTAAAAAAAAAAAAACTAAAAAAATTAAGCTCTACCAAAACAAAACACTACCCTGCACACACAGTTCTTCCCCTAGGGTGAGCATGAGAAAGAGCAAACCATGTGACAGATGTTAGTCATGTTGCTTAATGCACTACTGGAAGGTACATAGATACTATGGTGATAAGGGCAGTATAAGAACCTATGTAGAAAGAACAAATGCTATTTATACCAGTGTATTTGCTTGTACAAAGATCATTTTTATCTTGAAGTAGTGCTATGTGAATTTGCTGGAGACGATATACACACGCACACTCTTCTAAGTGTTCATTTTGATAGAAGTCTGGAAAATGCCACAGGTGGTTGTGAAACTACATTTTCCCTAACACTAGAAACCTGTAGCCCAGTGGCACTCAATCATGAACTGAACATAACATAAGAATGGCCATACTGGGTCAGACCAAAGGTCCATCTAGCCCAGTATCCTGTCTTCCAACAATGGCCAATGCCAGGGGCTTCAGAGGGAATGAACAGAACAGGTAATCAGCAAGTGATCCACCCATTCCCAGCTTCTGGCAAACAGAGTCTAGGGACACCATCCCTGCCCATCCTGGCTAATAGCCATTGATGGACCTATCCCCCATGAATTTATCAAGTGCTTTTTGGAAACCTGTTATAGTCTTGGCCTTCACAACATCCTCTGGCAAAGAGTTCCACCGATTGACTGTGCGCTGTGTGACAAAAGACTTCCTTTTGTTTGTTTTAAACGTGCTGTCTATTAATTTAATTTGGTGACCCCTAGTTCTTGTGTTATGAGGAGTAAATAACACTTACTTTCTACCCACCAGTCATGATTTTATAGGCCTCTATCATATCCCCCCTTAGTCATTTCTTTTCCAAGCTGAAAAGTCCTAGTTTTACTAATCTCCCCTCATATGGAAGCTGTTCCATACCCCTAATCATTTTTGTTGCCCTTTTCTATACCTTTTCCAATTCCAATATATCTTTTTGAGATGGGGTGACCACATCTGCACGCAGTATTCAAGATGTGTGCATACCATGGATTTATACAGAGGCAATATGATATTTTCTGTCCTATCTATCTGTTTCTTAATGATTCCCAACATTCTGTTCACTTTTTTGACTGCTGCTGCACATTGAGTGGATGTTTTCAGAGAACTATTCACAATGACTCCAAGATCTCTTTCTTGAGTGGAAACAGCTAATTTAGAGTCAATTAATCTGAGCATATCTCAGTGAACCATAAAAGATACAGAATTTGCTCTCTCACTATTTTCAAAAAGTCCTCTTCTATCAATATACCTGCCACCCAGTCTGTGTTACTTGTTTTCCGTTGCCATTTTTTCAGTGTAAACACCACATGGTCCTCTGCAAGGGGTATGATGCCTTATTGAACTCAGAAGAAAAGCCACCTGCAAGAGTATGAAGAGCTGGTAGCTAGGGTTGTGTCTCACTTCTATACTCCTATCTTTTTGGTACACTACTGGAGTGGAATACATTCAATTACTCCTGAGGGAATTATGCGCCAAAAAAATAAAAATACCGCATACAATATTTTAAAATTCTGCAGATTTTGTTAGTAAATAAATGTGGAGGCCCCAGCATGGAGTGGAGAGCACAGGCCACTGGCTGCACAGAGGTGGGAGATGACCCTGAAGCTGCAGCTGGGTGTGTCCCTACCTGTATGTGTGCTGGTGGGGGCTTAAGAACTTGTCACAGCAGTCCAGTGTAAAGGGAGTCCAAGCTGGTAGGCCAGGCGAGCTCAGTGGTACCCCAGTTGCAGGTGGCACCCTGGGGGGAACCCGTCACAGGGGGTCTGGATGCATGGGGTTTTGGTGGACGGAGGAGCAGCTCCCTGTACAGGGAGGGACCCTTCCCCCACATCTGAGAAGTAATGGGGGCAGGAAGCAGGGGGGTGGGTGCTTCCTGCAGCTGGAGGAGGTTTCTGGGGGTGGGTCTGACCTGGGCCCGGCCCTAGTCACTCCTTGTAGGGGGAAGAGCAAGTCCTGTCCTGCCCGCCCTAGCTCAGCCCCCACAGTGACTTACCTCTCTGCCAGCTGCTCCGGGTGCCCAAAACAATACACCCGTACTGCTGGGGAGGGGCGCGTGACCGCTCTTATGGCCTCCCTTTGCTTCCCCATCAGAAAGTCATTTTTCTGTGGGGAAGCAAAGAAATCTGGGGGGGGGGACATGAATTCCTCACACATGCAGTGGCGCAGAATTCCCCCAGAAGTAACATTCTGTGCAATGGTTTACCATGGACTACATGTAATCAACTATCCCTTGTATAAACCTAATCTACTTGCCAATAGCCTGTGATTCCCAAGGCCCCTTTCCACTGGATTTTAAGATTCCCTAATTTTACATCCTCTGACCTAATTAGTTCTAAATGAAGTAGCCACTGGGTTACTGAGCAATTCCCTTCCTGAAATGTGTCCATTTTAGAGCTAGGACTGAAGCTGAAAATCCTGTAACCTAACCCCATCTCTAAATTCTAAAAGGTCACAATTGGCGGTATCTGCAAAAAACTCTTTTCCAAGACAACCAAATTCCCCCAGTATATTTCAAGACTATTTCTAGAAAACAGCAAACAGTTCTTTAAGCTACAATATACTAACTCCATTTCACCTCAGACACATAATGTTCCTAAAATCTATTCTTAGAAACAGGTTCTGCCAGGTGACAGCTTTCTGGGAGACAGACAGGAATTACTTCAGGACTCTTAAGAAGCATGACTGCACACCTCCCAAGTACATCTGGAAATGCAGTTAATAAGAAACAGTTTCTTACTGTAACTGTGGTTCTTTGGGATGTGATGCAGATGTGTATTCCACTTACGTGTGTGTGTGTGCACCCAGCCTGCTGGTACCGGAGATTTTGCTTAGCAGTACCCGTAGAGTTCTGCCACTTGCACCTTGTGGCTGTGGCTCCTCCCCTGGCTATATGAGGTGGTGCTGCCCTGACCCCCCTCAGTTCCTTTGCATCAAACACCCATGAGAGGAGACTCTGATGCAGAAGGGACAGAGGGTGGGTCATGGAATACAC